TATAGTGGAATGCACTTTATCCCAGTTCCTGGAAGTCAGAGACAGTAAGTCCAGACTACCTAACCTGTATGTTTCAGGCCAATAAGAGACTTTATTGCAAAGAAACTGGACAGACAGACCATCTTCCTGGGAATGGCACCTGAGGTTGTCCTCTGGCCTCCACAACTGCAAGTGTATACGTACACACACATATAAAGATGCATTCATTTAAAAAAAAAACAATAAAATGACACTAGCAGCATGGAGACTCCTGGATGTTCCCTCCCTCCCCACAGGGTAACCACATTCCTTATGCTTCTCTGAGTCACTAGATGCATACACATCACTAACAGCACTCTGTTCCTTTTGGCCTACACGGGCCCTTATGTAAGTAAAATCACATATTGTTTTACAGTTGTTCCCTCAGCAGTTTTGCTTAGAGGCTCATACTTGTTAGGACCTGTAGCTCTGCCTCATTGCTTCCCACTGGTAGGATGTTCCCTTGGCTAGCATTGAACTTGTGGTAATTCTCCTGCCTCAGTCTCTCAAGCACTGGGATTGCAAACATGAGCCACCACAACTGGCTCAATATTTTGGTTTTTCGAGACAGGTTTTCTCTGTGTTGCTATGGAGGTTGTCCTGGAACTCACTCTGTAGACCAGGCTGGCATCGAACTCACAGAGATCCGCCTGCCTCTGCCTCCCGAGTGCTGGGATTAAAGGTGTGCGCCACAAATGCCCAGCGACTGGCTCAATATTTTGATCTTAAAAACAATATGGCTAGATGTCTATCCTTTGATACCTCTGGAAGCACACACCTGACTGCCTTACCAAGTGTGCTTTTGAGCCACACTTGATTCTAGCTGAAAAACCCAGAAGCGATGGTGTCTTTCAGCTGATTGATAGAATCAATCACAGTGTCAGGGAGTTTTCAAGTGCTTACACAATTTGGCGTGTGCTAGTGAGTGTGTCACAGCTCTTGCTCTACAGCTTTGCTGACAGCTGCTGTTTTTCACTTTTGTAGTTCTGGTAGATAATGCCCTTTCTTTGTGGCTTGAATTTTTCATTTCCCTAATGAAGTCCATATGTTTATGGCTTCATTGAGTTTTCTCCTGTGAACTATTAAGACTATTTTATTCTTGTTTTTCTTTTGTTGGGCTAATTTATAGGTTTTCTTTGTATAATATAAATACTAATCCTTTGGTTATATGTTGGAAGATCTCCCTGATTCTCTTTATTGAATCTTTTGGTAATTGAGGTTTATGAGTTTTACACAATGAGACCTGTCCCCATTTCACTCCCCCTTCATGGTGTGTGATTTTCAAGTCTTATTTAGGACTTATAAACATATTCTCCTGTTTGGCTCCTGCAAGTTTTGTAGTATGATTTCCATACTTGTTCTCTTTAATCCACTGGGAGTTAGTGTTGGTGAAATCCACTTTTGTTCTGTTTCTTTATGAGCTCAGCTGCTGCTCCTGTTTTTCCACACTGAGGAGTCCATCCTTTCCATCAATCCGATCTTAATATGTGCCGGTCTCTTTCTTGGTGTGTGTGTGTGTGTGTGTGTGTGTGTGTGTTGGTATTTTGGTATTTAGTGGAGAGCAAGACACTTCTTGATGCAGGGTTTTTTAACAGTCCAAACTGGCCTTGAACTGTCCAGCCTTCCCTGCTTCTGTTTGGATGGTAGGTCTTCCAGTGAGTTCCTGGGTGGTTTTTTTTCTAGGACATATACATCCTGGAAGCCTATTTTTTGGTGACCATTCACTGGCTGATTTTGGGATGGTTTGTTTATGAGCTTATTAAATGTGTGACTCACGATCCATTGTAGTTTCCACATTTGGTCCCTACAGCAATCAAGAAGAAAGATTTGTTCCTTTGTTGAAGTGGTAATGCCATTTAACAAGTGTTAGTTATTGGGTATTTAGCATTGTAGAGATGTGAACATGGTTCTGCCCTCCTCCCCAGGAACTTGGGGTAGCTGAGCAGTCAGCTAGCCAGCTCTCAAGTGCAGCAAGAAGAGCTTGTGATAGATCAGGGCTGTGGCAATGAGGCAGGCAGACAGTAGCTACTTCAGATGATCTGGACAGGCTAAGAAAAGGACAGGTGGGCTTGTCCTCTGGGGTAAAGAAGAGGTCTGCCTGTAAGGGAAGGCACTTGACATAGGACTTTGTGTCAAGGAGAGGACAAAAGGAAGGAAGGAAATGTGTCTGAATACAAGGAGTAAGAAAGGAAACTGGGATGGGAGCTCCCAGAAAATGGCTGGAATTTATTTTGAAGGTTTAAGTGTCTCCAGATGTTTTACTGATAAGTGTGAATTTAAAATTATGGTAAAGAAATGTTAGCCCAGAGCTGAAAGGAGTGACCTGGCTGTCACACGAACCTCAGTAAGCTATGGAGACAGATGGACTCACAGGCAAGATAACCCAAGCAAACCATGGCAAAATACCTGGATTTAAAAAAAAAAACAAAAACAAAAAACACATTTGATGCATCAATAGAGTAGAGGTCAGTGACATTGGGTGTGGGGAGTGGAGGAAGTCCTGAGTGAGTGAAGTCCTGAGTGAATATTTACTGTTGGCACCGACTCCAAAGTTTCAAACCTATGGGAAAATGGCAAAACCTTCCTCAGGCTATGCTTAGAGAAATGACAAAGCCCTTGCTCCTGGTCTGAGTGCTAAAGTAAGTAGTGTGTACATAAAAAGTCCATCGTAGCTTCTGTTTACTACTTCCCTGGGTACTTGCAGCCTTGAGGACTGCTCCCCTACAGAGACTGTTCCTACTAATGTCACTTACACTTACTTCCTTGGTTCACCTGTCTACCAGAATCCCTGTCTCCTTGGTTCACCCGTTTGCAATAACCCTGCCCGCCATTCCCCCACTTCAATTCTATATGATCCAATGCTTGGCTGGGTGAGGGGATGCTGAGGTTTCGCCATCCAAGGTATCAGACCACCATTTTTTTGTGTATCTATGCATTTGTCTTTTCTTTATTCCCTTGCCACCTTCAGACAGGTTCAAGTCCCTGGAACCACATGCAGGGACTCAGAAACTGGACAGAGTCACATTGTTGGCTGTCACCACCACTGTCCCTCTCCAGAACTAATCAGACAGAGTCTCACTGTTGGCTGTAATTGCCACAGTCTCTCTCCAGAACTTTTCAATCTGAAATTCTAAACCCACCAACACAGTAACTAATGTTTCCAGCATCCCAGTCTTCAGCACCTCACCAAAAAGTGAGTTTGATCACTCCAGGTGCTACATATATAAGTGACATCATTCAGCATTCGGCTTGTTTTGCTTAGTGTAATGTCCTCAAGGTTAGTCCATCTTGTAGCGTGATCTGGAATTTTCCTTGTTCTTCAGGGTAAATAATAAACCATTGTGTGTGTGCGTGTGCGCCTTCCCTATCAATACAGGCACCCGTTGATACTTGCCTTGCTTTTGGCTGTTGTGAGTGATGCTGCAATGAACATAAGTGAACACACCCATGTTACAGATGTCTCTAGTTGAATTTTTCCATGGTGGTGGCCCTCATTCACCAGCAGATTAGCTTGTCCCTCAAGTGGCTATTGAGTCCTCTTATTTCTTGCCTGGTAGTCCAACTCCGTTGCCTTTGAACCAGGAGCTTCCCCACAGTCTGTTTCAAAAGAAGTCATCCAGGAGCTCTCTGCTGGTGTGGCCTGCCTCTTCCCCTTGCAAAAGCCCCACTTGATGTTCTTGAGCTGAAGGTGGGGACAGTGACCTAATTTTCCATGGGTGACACCTGGCTTCATGAGTAGGTTTCCTAATGGGCCTGCAGCATCTACTCTTCCTGGCTTACTCTTCTCTTCCTAGGACTTGACCTTACACAGGGAGCATGATCTGGACCGAGGATTTTCTACCAGCCATCTATGTAGAGGGTTTGACCTCAAATAGGGTTGAGTGGAGGAAGGGAGCCCCTGTCTTGAAGCGTCTGTGACTCAGGAGCTGAGAGATGCTGGCGACCTGCCATTTGAGGAGATACTATTTTGGAAATAGAGTTCCTGCCAGGAGAGGAAAAAGGGGCAGGACCAGGCTACAGGACCATAGACTCTGCTTTTCTTTAGGAAAAATTTTTCTGGAATACATGTTCATTTGCCGAATGCTCTTAGGAGAGCTTCAAGATGTGAAAGGGTTACTCTTAGATAATTTCCGTGATGACAGATGTGTCATCAGGTCTGCTTAGGGCTTGGGGGCCTCCTGGTTTTATCTCAAGGGTGGAGGGTGTTGAAGGATGGTGTCACAAAATGGCTATGAAAAGACCAGTGGCTGCCGTTGGGTGAACAGGAGGAGACAAAGCTGGTGGCAGCAGGAACACTTGAGATAGAGTTACTGTTGGGAACTAGAGAGTGGAGCAGTTCAACACAGCGAACTAAGACTTGGTGATTGTTGTCACTGGATGGGTGATGGGGAGGTTAGTGTGACCTAGAAGATGTCTGTATGACTGTAGGCTCTGGGAGATACCCACACTGTGGTCTCTCAGTCAGACTTTTGATGGGCAACTGGTAAATAGGTCTTAGTAAAACCATCATCATGCTCTCAATTTCTGTCCTAGAAGGCAGAGTGTGTGTCTGGTCCATTGTTGCATCTTGTGGACTTGGGATCGTGGTTGATTCGTCCTAAATGCTTGATGATTGATTTAGTTAGAGGAACTTAATGGCTGTTGAGAGGAAGCACAGAAAAAGGAAGCGATATGGTTGAAGATTTGCATTGAGGCATGGCACCCGTGGAAGAATGCCAGGAGCCTGTCCTGAGCCAGAAAAGAGATTTGGTTAGAAAAGTTCATTAGGAGTTAGAAGGAGACAAAGAGTAAAAGAATGGAGGTGGCAGACTGGGTTACTCTAGGTCAGTGTATAGAGGAAAATAAGAACACCGTGGACCAAACTCATGTCCCTAAAGATTACCTGTGTTGGACATCTCTTATCACTATATGTCACATGGCACCTTTCATAGCTGCTAAACCTTTTGAGAGCACGAAGCTCACAAGGGTTTCTCTTACAGGTTAAGGAACTGTTTTCATCCTTAGGAGTGGAGTATTACATCCTGGAACTTGATCAAGTTGGTGAGTAGTTGTCAGTAATGCTGCTATTTGTAGGAAAAGCCAACATGGCTGTTCCACTTACTTTGTTCAACTCAATTTACTTTCATGTCTTCCTGTCAAATGAGCTCTTTTTGTTTATATTCAACCACATAGAAGATGAACCTTCATATAACAAACAATTTGATAAAAATTTTCCATATTTGAGGGCAAGGCATGGGAAGCTGTTGGCTTCTAACTTTAAAGTGCTTGAGGCATTGGATACTTTCCTGCCAGCATTCTACAAAATAGATTTAATAAACTGTCATTTATAGAAAGGAATCCATTCCATTTCCTGGTTGTGCTACCCATGGGCAAGAACATGTTAAGTTTTCAGCTTAGTTTTGAATCTTGTCATCTATGGCCATGACAGTCACTGAACACTTCACATTTACTGTTCTTTGCAGGAATTTGGGATGTGATAATGTCCAGAAAAAACAAAACAAAACAAAAAAACAAAAAAACCCCCAAAAAACCAAAAACCAAAAAAAAAAAAAAAAACCCAAAACTTTCAACTTTGCCTTCATGGCACAGCTTTTCATCAAGTTGCCTTAAGAAGCAAGGTACTCTCGTTTCTTACCCTAAGTGTCAAGTCCTAAGTATCATGGCCCAGTTGTATCTTCCAAGAAGGAGGGTGAATTTCAGACCACACTTACAAAACCTTTTTGTTTGTTTGTTGTTTCAAGACAGGGATCCTTTGTGTAACTTTGGAGCCTGTCCTGGAACTTGCTCTATAGAGCAGAATAGCCTCAAACTCACAGAGATCCTCCTGCCTCTGACTCCCGAGTGCTGTGATCAAAGGCGTGTGCCACCACTGCTCTGCCATCAAAAAACCTTTAAACTTAATCATAGGAAGAAGCATTTTCTTGCTCGTTATAACAGGTTTCACTTGGGTTTTGTTTCTTAAAGGATACTTGTCCCTTGATTGTGGCAAAGCTATTGCGTATGCAAAAGCTAACCCAGATGCTTTGTCCTGAAAGGAATCCATAGGTAGGCCTTTGGGTTTAAGGTGTCCTCTGAAAGTGAAGCTGCTTTCCCATCTTGAGTCATTATTTCATAAAGTCATGGAGCACACTGGCCTGTCATGGAAATGAACTTGTAAGCAATGATCAGTGAGCATTGAAAGATTTGAGCTCTGCTAGGGGACCCTTTATAGTGTCTTCAGATGCTGTTTTATTCTTTAGATGATGGGATCAACGTTCAGGAAGTGCTGACCGAAATTAGTAACCAGAAAACGGTGCCCAATATTTTTGTGAATAAAGTGCACGTGGGCGGATGTGACCGAACTTTCCAGGTAATGATCGTCATCACTCATGGTCCTTGCCATTGTTCCCATTGTAATTTAACCAGTGTCAGAGGGGAGTACCAGAACAGCACAGAGGCTGGTGCCCAAGAGAGGTTCCCAGTGGCTCCAGAGCAGCTCACGAGGCTCCATCCCTTCCTAGATATATATAAGCTGTTAATTTCTATGAAGACAGACCCTTCTTCAGTAGTGTAGCTGACAGCAAGTTCACACAGCAGCCCATTTAAACTAAACTACACTTAAAATCATACCTTCGTTGTGCCCTATCTGAGGTAAAGAGAGATCTGTTCATATGTCCCCAGGAAGAGTGACAGGTGGTCGATGGGACCAGGACAAGTCTCTTCCTCCTGATAGTGGGCGAAACAGTCTGTTCCCCAACAAGAATTGGTGGACACAAACACTGTTGTCCAGGGAATTAGCACTCTTGCCAGAGCTGCCAATACTGGATGCAAAGCATAGGGCTTTTAATTTCTTGATTCTTAGAATGCAGGTAATGCATAGGAGCTATTTTGGTAGACAGTAACAGATTAAAACTGTGTGTATATGAAATGTGGCTCAGGAGTAAAGTGACTGCCTAGCATGTGAGAAGCCCTGGGCTTGGCCTCCCTTTAACGTTTAGTAAATAAGGCCCTTGTTCTATAGTTATTTTTATTGCAATGCAGTTCTGTTTTAATCCCTTATGTAGGTATGTAAGCACTAGTAACCAATGATTAAGTACATATCTGAAACTTTAGTTAAGAGTAATTTTTGACTAGCAAGATCATCACATTGAATGTTAATCTCTGATCCACACGATTATGCCGTATTAGCCCTATTCTCCTGGAAGTGTCCCACCACTGTGCAGGTGCTAAGTGCTGTAGCTGCTCAGCACTCTATCTAACATCATCCATCCTAACCTTGAAGATGATGCAAGAGAATGATCTGGAATCCAAGGAGGTGGATTTTTCTGAGTCACATTAAATAAGGAGGCCAGGATAGTTTTTTTTTTTTTTTTTCTAGAATGTTTTCAAAACCATCTCCGGCACCATTCCCCAGTGGCCACATAGATGGTACCATTTTCCAGTGGTCACAGAGCACCTTTGAGTCCTGATGGTGATGTACAGAGCAGGGCTAGCTCTAGTCTGCTGCTTCCAAGGCAACAGGCTTTGCAAGAAGACCGGCTTGCTGAGTCACTTACCTGACCTCATATGAGCAGCTTCTCACCAAGGGGGTGAAAGGAGCAAGAGACTCCAGAGCCTGTCTTGTGGCCATTGGGAAAGAAACACTGATATGTGAGTGATAAAGGAAGTCGCTCAGCACAACTGTGGAATGAAGGGTCAGTTTGTGAGAGATCATGAAGACAGCTGCTGGTGCATAAAAGCAAGGTTTCAACTGAAGACTAGCCCAGAGGAACAAGGACTTGAAAAGTGACACTTGATCATTTTTCTGTGGAAAGTGGCCTCATTTGACACTGATAACTATCAGGATGTCTAGGTCACAGTGGACATAAATATATAACTGTTGGCATAAATTGTACTCTATTTAGATCTGGGTAGATTTATAGTCCCAACACAAATTTTTGACCCATCTTTCCTGAGGTCTTTCTTTGCTTTTCTTCTTTATTTTTTGGTGCCAGGAACCAAATGTGTGGCCTTGTGATTCACCACTAAGCTAAAGTACTCAGCATTGGGTATCTTTTAAATATATATATTTAAACGTGTGTGTTGGGGGGGTATGCTTGTGTGTGAGCATGTGCACAGATGCCTGCAGTGGGCAGAGATGTCAGATTCCCTGGGACTTCGGGTTCCAGCAGTTGCTTGCCTCCCATCGTGGTTCCTAGGAACTGAATTCAGGTTCTCTGCTAGAACGGTATGTGCTCTTGACAGATGAACCGTCTCTCCAGCTCCAGATATGTTTAGTCAAAGAATCCATGCTGGTTGGAAATGGAGTCGTGTGCTATTCTGTCTCCTTTGGCAATCTGTAGGCACATCGGAGCGGTTTACTGCAGAAGCTCCTTCATGAAGACTCGGCTAACGATTATGATCTCATCGTCATTGGCGGAGGCTCTGGTGGACTCTCCTGTGCGAAGGTGTGAACATGAGAGAACTATTGATGACTTCTCCAAGTTAACTGCAATCTTGCAGTCTAGGCTTTTATAATAACTGGTTTGATTGGGGGTGGAGGAGTATCTGACAAATCCAGACTGTTCACTTAAGGGGGAAGAAAATGGGGATAAGAAGGTGACAAGACACCTTTCCATGTGGTTATTTTTGTAGGAAGCTGCCAAATTTGGAAAGAAGGTCATGGTGCTGGACTTTGTGGTCCCCTCGCCTCAGGGTTCATCGTGGGGTAAGCTGTAGTTCTTGCTTGTCCTCTTTAATTAATTAATGTATTTACATTATGTATATTGGTGTTTTGCCTGCATGTATGTCTGTGTGAGGGTGTCGGATCCCTGGAACTGTAGTTACAGACTCTTGTGAACTGTCATGTAGGTGCTGGGAATTGAACTTGGGTCCTTTGGAAGAACAGCCAGTGCTCTTAACTGTTGAGCCATCCCTCCAGCCCTGGTCCTATGCTTTTGCAGGCAGCTTCTTTCCTGTAATCTCATGTAACCCTGCCTGGTCTCAGGAGGGTGAGCCGTACAATGGTGCAGACTCTACAAATGAATGCAAACAGTTGAGCTTTATGAAGAGAAAGGCAGTTCCTGGGCCCAGCACCCACACTTCTGCCATGGATTTTGCATGCATGCACCAGCATTTTCACATTGTTGCAGGCATGGTGCATATGCTCTGTCCTGCCCACTTTCTGTTTCTGTCTTAGTCTCAAAGCTGGACTTGATGACTGTATAGTGGCTGCTATTGTCATTGTCCCCCATCCTTTCCCTTGGGTTGCATGAGAAGCACACATGGTCCCAGCCATATACCTCTGTTGTGCAGAATGTTCATTTATGCTTCAAATGCATTCTTTTGTCTCTGGTCCGCTCTGGCCTAGAAGCCTGACATTTGTCTCTGGTTTTGTGGTTTCAGGTTGGGCTTTGCCAGTCTGGAGCAGGGGACAGGAAAATGGAAGCTAGGGCCCTGACATGTTATGGCTCATCATCTGGAAGGCCACACATGGTTTATGCCACTGTCTCTAGGTCCTGGCACTCGCTTTGGCCCCTTGCCCTCTTCTCATGGCCACTGCTATTGTTAGCTTTTGGTACTGCTCTGACTTTTCTTGCTCTTTTGTCCCAAATGTGTTGTAATTGCTCTAATGGACGGGATTCTGCCTGACAGTGCTTTCTTGTTCCTCCCACATTTTACTGGGATAGGTAAAATATGGGGGGAAAAAGCAACAACACAAAAAAATGTTGTTTGAAATTCAAGCTAATTCAAAGGCCTTAGCCTAGAACTCCTAGGGTGCATCAGTGTGCCTTGCTTGTTCTTTGACTGGTCTGGGTGTACCCTTGACCTTTTCCCTCTTTTTGCTTCTTCCCTGTTTTTCTCCTCTCCTATCCAAAAAAGATCCCACTAGTCTGTAGACTAGAAGAAATTGTAGCTGGAGAGAATTCCTTACTTGGGTCCTGCCCATTTTGTTGTACAGGCCTGGCCCATTTTGTGTAGGTCACAAGAGTACACAGTCCTGGCCTGTTTTGTGTAAGTCACATGGTGTACACAGGCCTGGCCCATTTTGTGTAGGCCACATTCAGAGTAGATGCTACCAGACAGTTTTTGAGGACTGACAGTTGGCTCAGAGGAGTGAGAGTTAGGAAGAGGCTAGAAGCTGTCATTCCAAGGCTAAGGCAGCTCTTGTCCTTTGAGTATCAAACACAAGTGATCCAGAGCTCTTCATATAGACCGGTATTTTCACCCACTATTGGGTCTTCTCCACCAATTACAAGTTAGATGGTCCAATTTACCATTTGTACGTCATTTGGAGGATGAAAGTTGTCTCTGCCACTGCCAATTGCATGTTTTAATAACCCCACATTGATGTGAGAAACCTCATACAAGCACTTGGGTAATGTTGACACGTTACTTTCTTTTCAGGCCTTGGTGGCACCTGTGTAAATGTGGGCTGTATTCCTAAGAAGCTGATGCACCAAGCAGCCCTCCTGGGTCAGGCCTTGCAGGACTCAAGGAAATATGGCTGGGAGTATAACAAGCAGGGTGAGTGGGGCTGGAAACCCCCAACAGGCTGAATCCATGACTCTGCGGTTGCTTCTGACATTCACTCAGTAAGCATGACAACTGTGCTTACCAGCTACAGAGGCCACAACGCCAGCTGCTGCCCTGGGACTTAGGCCTAGAGACAAAACTTGAGCAAGTCCAGCAGAAGGTGAAAGGCGGTGATGGCCATTTTCATTTTTGCCAGTGTGAAGAAAGAATGAAAGTTTGTTGTGGTGGTGGTAGTGAATCTGTGTTAAGCATCTTGGCTGAATCTCTTTCCCGTTTACTGTCCAGGCTCTGCCATGCAAGGTAATGGCAACAGATCCTGCCCAGAAGCATCAGCAGCTCTGCAGAGCACATGAGGGGTACCTGATGCACCCTGCAGCATCAGAGGAGCACCAAGAAAAGCTTTGTTATATTAGCCACCCCTTCTCCCTTTTTCTTTGGAGACAAAGTCTTGCTCACTATGTTCACCAGGTGGGATATGAACTCCTGGCCTCAAGTGATCCTCTTACCTCTACCTCTTGAGCAGCTGGACTACCATGCCCAATTCAAGCTGCATCTTGAAAGTCACAGAGGAGGAGGACTTTAGGACCAGAAGCAGGTTGACCAGGCCTGCAGGTGTGAGAAAACAGGGTCTATGGGGGGTGGGTACAGTGAAGATGGTGGAAGAGGTGACCTTAGAGAGCTAAGCAGTTAGGTAAGAGGGGGGTCAAGCTCAGGCAGGAGAGAGGCTGCAGCTTGGAGTCCAGATTCCTCCTGAAGCATGAAGGAACTTAGAAAGGGGAAGAGGTGAGAGAGAGGAGGCAATAAATGCTACAGACCTGAGCAAAGATGGGCTGAGGGTGGGAGGTGGATTTAGGGACGCTGGTGATGGAGATGTGATTGACTGCGGTGGCCAGCTAGACACAGAGGTGGGGGTCTTCATGGTGGCTGCATCAGAAGACCTTGTGGAGGTTTTAAAAACCGTGAATGAGTCGGCTATCTCTAGATACCTTGATGCAGATGAGGGCAGTGCCTGTCTAGAGTATTACAGGCAACTGACAACCATAGACCCAGCAGTAAGGTGGAGGAGAGAGACAGCTATTAGGTTGCACAATGGGTGTGGGCTGTGGCTCGCTGAGAGGGATGACACAGGCAGGCCCAGTTAGTACCTGGGCGTGTTAGCTGAGACTAGACCCATTTCACCAGGCGACTCACTGGAGAGTATCACTGTAGGACCTGCTGGGCTGTAGATGGCAGCACGCCTCTCTACTTGCCCGTGGATCTCTGATTTAAGAGCACTCCTCCATGAAGCCTTATGTTGCTTCACATTCCACACAGAGCATCTGCAGAACATCCTAGAAGGTTAGCTCCCTGGGGAAGGGTCGTGTGGAGAGAGAGCCGAGCGAGAGCTCTGAAGCAGAGTCACAGCATATGGAGATAAAGTAGGGGCTGGCGATGTACATAGATTGACAAGACTAGGAAAGCAGAGGCTGCGATAGTTTCAGACTCAAGAAAAGTTGAGACTGAAGTAACTATAATACGAAGTGAATCCAAAATCACAAAAGTCCATCCTCTCGAGGTGAGCCTGCGACAAGCATGAGTGTCTTAAAGGAATATGTGTGTAGCTCCTGAGGGCTCACAGTAGGTAGCAAGAGGGATCCTGGTCAGGGAAGTACAGTGGCAAGCCCTAGGGTCTACATGGTGACCTGAAGGCATTTGTGAAAATCTCACACCTACCATGCTTTAAAAACTCTGTCAGCAAAGCTAACATAAGAAACTTCTTTTCAGGGTGAAGACTGGAAAGGAAAAATTTACTGAAGAGCTTGATTCTGTGTTAAATATGAGTTGGAGCTGTCCAGCGCATAGCCACAGTGCCCCAGGGCCACCTAGTGCATGGCCTCCATGTCCCAGGGTCACCCTGTGCACAGCTCTGCTACCCCAGAGTCGCCTAGTGCTTGTCCACAGTGCCCCAGAGTTACCCCCTGCTGCATGGCTGTGCCCTGGCCACTGCACAGGGAAAAGGGACAGGAAAGAAAGGACATATGCTTGAAAAGGGCTAATGGGGGAAAAGGTCTAACTTTATGATCTGATATATCTAGAACATATAAAAGATGGAGCTTAGCAATATTAGAATTAATTAGTTCAGTTAGTGTGAAAATCACATTTTTTACTTGCCAGCCATAACAAGCTAAAAATATAGTGAAAAATGACAAAAATGATGAGATGCCTTGGAGCAAAGCTAACCGTGTACATGGGAAGACTGTTAGTGCACACCAAAAAGTACTGTGAATTAGAGGGGTTGTCTCAATATTGTGAAGAGGCCATATCTCAAGATTAGCTCATGACTATGCAGACCCAGCACCACCCGAGACTTTATTTTCCCCCTTCAAAGCTCAAAAGTGATCATTTTAAAGTTTATATTGAAAAATAAACCTGTGAGACTAGCTGAGCTTTCTCTGAATGGAGGGCGATTTTTCTTATCTGATTTAACAGTGAATGAATAGACACTGGGTGGAACACAGCCAGGCCCTAGGTTTCTCCTGGGGGAAGCTCAGGGGATCTGGTTATTCGCAGGATATGCAGGCTGATACACAACCAGGTTTGGGACTCTCATATTTTATAGTAAAGGTCGCTTGGCTTGTGAGGAGAATGGACAGGACCCCTGAGTCAAAGTTCCCCAGAGGGTTGGAATGAAAGGTCTTCTAGGGCTGGAGTTGGCAAAAATGTGCCACTGTGGAGAACATTGCATCATGAGGGTATGCAGTAACGAAAGTGACCTTTCCAGGCTGCAAAACCACAGAGCTCTCCTTATGGTGCCCTGGAAAGGCCTGATGTCCACACTGACTGTGCTGGGGGCTGGGGAGGGGCTTTCTAAGAGAGAGATGGAACCCCACCCCTAAGTTACCGGTTTGTTTTCTAGACTTTCATCCAATTACGAGCAGACTGCACAGGCAGGCCCTGTGTCTTATGACTGTGGAGCTACACAGAGGCGGGTGTGAACCTCCAGATCCGATACCTGTAGACAAGATATAGTCCCACCTAGAAGATGTGGGGTAGAGAAAGGTCCAACAGTTAAATCCTAGCCTCATGCCAGAAAGAACTGGTCAATAGTGTGAGATAAAAGGCAACTCTGAGTTGAGGTTTCCTTTATTATAAAGAAATGAAAGGACCTGGCAGAGCACTTGCCTAGTGTGTACGAGGCCCCAGGCTCCATCCCCAACACTGAGAAAACAACAGAGATACTAACATGAAAGCGTTTCACAGGGAGCCAAATGGGAGTAGAAGCGGCAAGACCGGCCAGGTGAGTGGACTGTGATTACTATCACTGTCTGCTGGCTGGATTCCTCTGGCTCTACCTAGATAGAGGTCCTGGTGTTCAGCAGGGTGTGGATTCACAAAGGACAGAGCAGCAGCAGATGGCGCCCTCTAGTGTTACAGTTCTTGGGCTGCGTCAGGAGCAGGGAGGGTATCTTGGTGGTTTAGGAAGTGGGGGATTCCTTAGCCCTAGGCAGGGTGGGTGTGGCAGCGTGCTATGGCTGCCTCAGCTCACAGCTCCACGGGCAGCTCTGACTCTTCAGGAGTCATTGCCACCTCTGCCCCTTGTCAAGAGCTCTGGTGGTTTCCATAGCCCTAACCTTGGCCTCTAGTTGCCTGTTCCATGCAGGGCAGCTCCTACTCATTTGCTGCCAAGGCCTCACTAGGAACATGGCTCCCCTTTTTCTGTTGCCTGGCCTTCTGGCTGCTCTCCACAGCTCCACCTCTGCTGCAGCTGTTATGGCAGTGGCTGCTCCACAGTCTGTTTGTTGTCCCTGCTGCTGTTTTCAGCTCAGCCTGCTCTACTAAAAATAAGCAAGGATGACACCTTGGGATAAGTATTTTACTTGGCCTAATATTGCAACCCTAGGGGATGCAGCACAGTTTAGTGGGTTTTGTTTGTTTGTTTGTTTGCTTGTTTTCAGATGATTCATTGTGTGAGGGGATGTCTTAGGGTTTCTACTGGTGTGAAGAGACATCATATGACCATGGCAACTCTCATAAAGGAAATAATTAGGGTGGCTTGTGTACAGTTCAGAGGTTCAGTCCATTACCATCATGGCAGGAAGCAAGGCAGCATGCAGGCAGACATGGTGCTGGAGAAGGAGCTTAGAGTGCTTATATCTTTTTTTAAAAAATAGATCTTTATTTATTTATTATATATACACTGTTCTGTCTGCATGTATGGTTGGACACCAGAAGAGGGCACCAGATCTTGCCACAGATGGTTGTGAACCACCATGTGGTTGCTGAGAATTGAACTCAGGTCCTCTGGAAGAGCAGCCAGTGCTCTTAACCTCTGAGCCATCTCTCCAGCCTCGAGTACTTATATCTTGATCCGAAGGCAACAGGCAGTGAACTGAGAAACTAGGCATGGCTTGAACATATATGAGACCTCAAAGCCCACCTCCACAGTGACACAATCCCTCCAACAAGTCCACACCTACTCTAACAAAGCCACAGCTCCTAATAGCTTCAATCCCTTTGGGGGCCACTTTCTTTCATACTACCACAGGGGAGCAGTGTTTATGTCCAGAGGAGGGGCACTGCCACCACAAAGACAACCCTTTCATGCAAAGGAAGGCTTCTGTTTGCATAGGTCATAGTCACCTTATTGTTCCTTTTAGCACCAAGCACAACAGTCTCTCTGCTGGGTCACCAGAGGAAGAACTCCCATTCTGGCCTGGGAAAGTGGCTACACAGTCAAAATGTTCACCAAGGCTTGCAACAACAGAAATTCCAGTGCAAAGTGTTTGAGTCAGCCCTGGACGGGGCTGCACCTTCAGGAGCTGGAGCAAGCAGCTGTGATTGCTATTCAGTTTGTTCAGGATTTCTGTAGAGTGGGTGGTGGCATGAGAGTAGTCCCACTGGCTGTTTGTCCTCTTGTTTAAGGCAACCAGGGCACAAGGAAACATCTTAACAGCTGCCAAGGAGGGAATTAAATCACTTACCTCCCGACCTCTTTGTTTATCTATAGGAAAGTGGACATCAGAAGCAGGGCTTGTATTGTGAGCTTCTTACACTGTCATATTAACAGTGCTGTACAATGCTCCACACCTGACCATGTCTGTCTCAACCCAGTGGGATGAGGGAAGCAGGTCCCAGGGCATAAGAAGGGTTTCTGGGAGGTGCTTCCTGACCGAGTGGCCCTCCCCTTGAATGGTGGGCATTGCCATGTGGGGTGTGCTCCTCTCTGTGGGCTTTTTGCCTTTTTCTTCTCAGAACTCTGTCTCTTCTCTCACACTTTGCAATGTAAAGGGGGAAGGAAGCGTAGCAGGCACAGGTCTTCAAACCAGTGATGTGGCTCATGTATGGTAAAACATAATCTACCTGTGTGTGATGGTGCACACATAATCCCAGGAGTTCAAGGCCGGACTGGGCTGCAGAGAAACACCCTGTTTCAAAAAGGAAAGAAATAGAAGCAACGAAACCTTCACTGTGTACTTTCACCCTGGCTATTTTCCAGTGAAACATAACTGGGAGACCATGACAGAAGCGATCCAGAACCACATTAGCTCCTTGAACTGGAGCTACAGGCTGAAACTTCGGGAGAAAGGCGTGGCCTACATCAATGCCTATGGGGAGTTTGTGGAGCCAAGTAAAATAAAGGTACTGTCTGGATTTGCTTGGTTCATTGTCTTCCGTGACTGTCTACTTGGCCTTGCGCTGAAATTAAAATTCCATGTTGCACATTAAGGACTGCAGCTGGCGTGTCACACACACAATGTGTGGCCTCACGTATGTGCTTTCCACACCACTGCTTGTTGATTACATGTCAAGATAAATTGTAGTATGTGCGTTTTAAAGAACTCTTAATTTAAAGGTATTGTTTGCCTTTTATTTCATTGTTATTCAAAATATTTAAACAGCTTGAAGTGCAACAGACTAAAATGAAGCATTTCAGCAGTGGGGAGCTTTTGGAAAATGAAAATGTGACCTTCAGTACGCAGCATTCAATAGGGGCCGCTTCACATGGCTAAGCATGTGGTGTGTGTATAGCATCAGGTCTCTGTAAGGAACGCGAGGTCATTTTGAATTGGAGTTAGGAAAGACATCAGCCATTGCCCTCTGTGGATCCCTGTGTGATTAGCGTCACCCTAGACATCTGGATAGTTTTGTACTTTTCTTTGCAAACACAGCATGAGATAATCTTGACAAGATCTTAGGTCCTTTTGTAGTCAGTTGCTAGACCAGCTGAGATGGGTGATGGTTGGTCTACTTGAAGTTGCCCCTTCAAACCCTCTAAACTCTGTAGCAGCACAAGGTAGTTTGTTTCTCAGCTGTCTAAAACCTGGCAGATGGTCGAGTTGCCCTTCCCCACACAGCCTCCTCTGTGGATGTCATCAACCCCACAGCTCAAGCTCAGAGCTGCTTCCCTCCGACCCTGCTCTCACTTGTCTGCTTCACAACTGTCTTAAGGAGCCACTGACTCTGGGTGTTGCCTTCCAGCTGGTTGTGTCATCCACGGTGTAAACGCCACAGTTGGCATTGGAATTTCTTACCTGGAAATGTCCTTTGAATTATTCATACAATGATAAATAACCAGTAACTCTTGCTGGCGCTCCTTAGCTGAAAATCTGTGGCATGGTATATGAGGGCCTTCATTTTAGCTCCAGCTGCCTTCAATCTTAAACTTCCAGGTCATTCAGGGCAGGAGTGTGAGCCAGAGCAGAGGCGGGGACCCCGGAAGAAAGCTGCTCACTGGCTTGATCCCTGGCTCATGCTCACTAGCGTTCTAATACAGCCTGCCCAGGATGGTTCTGCCTCCTACATCAGTCATCAGACAAGAGAATGCAATGTAGACTCCACACCAATCTGATAGAAGCAATTCCTTGGTTCTCTTCTTGTCTCCAGACCTTCTGTGAAGCCATCCTAAACTGGCTTTGTACCACCCCAGCCCCAGAGTGGGACTATGACTATTGCGCGGACTGACTTGAGTTGTCTGTGTGGTGCCAGTCACACGGCACTGCTAGCTTCTGCGTACCCATCACTCCTGCCAAATGAGAGACTGTGAGGGTGGAAATAAGACTAGTAAACCTTATTTTTCTTCTTTTCAAGGCAACCAATAAGAAAGGACAGGAAACTTTTTACACTGCTTCGACATTTGTCATAGCAACAGGTGAAAGGCCAAGGTACTTGGGAATCCAAGGAGATAAGGAATATTGTATTACCAGGTAGAGTAAATATACCACTTATTTCAACTTTACTGCATTGTGTGTGTTAATGTTCCCATTGATATGCTCCTTGTCACGAAGGATTTGAATTCATGACAAGAAGCTCCAGTTAACATAACAGAGCAAAGAGATATAAGGTCAGGTGGGTATCGAGGTCACTGTTGGAACCCACACGGAAGCCATGCTGTTGCTAGGTAATCTGACTAGCTGTGAGATTGCATGGCCCAGGGTAGAGATGAGCTAGCTGGTCAAGGGCAGCACTGCTCTCCCCACACTGCAAATCCACTCCAGTGTCCCCAGGTGTCAACAGAGACTGTGGCACTGCAGGGACTTCAGACTGTGGAGTAGATAGGTGTTGAGGACATATGTCTTCATCACACTGTTGTTTGGTTAGACACATGTCCACACGTACTGCACAAAACCAGATACACTGTGTGTGCCTCATACCCTGTATGCATCCACACAGACTGCACACACCAAACCACACATATCACACGTATTTCTTGCACCATACCTATCTGCACATACCACACAAACCATACTTACTACACGTATCTTATACATAGTATACACAACACACACCACACACTATCCATTAGCTCATACACCTTATTGTCCGTGCATAGCACTGTACACATCAACACATAGCACATATGACACAAACCACACACTATGCATATCTCATACACTGTACACATCCACACACACACCACACGCCACACACCACACACCACACATCTCATACATCATACACATCCACACATGCCCCGTACTACCACAGACCACACACTATACATTTCTCATATACCATACACGCTCACACACACACCATACTACACATACCTCATGTACTGTGCACAGCTACATAACACATAATGCTCCTGCAAAACAAAATATTTTCCTTTCTATTTTATTATTATTTTATTTATTTATTTTAGATTTTTAAGATAGGGTTTCTCTGTGTAATAGCCTTAGCTGTCTTGGAACTCTCTTTGTAGACAGGCTGTACTTTAACTCACAGAGATCCACCTGCTTCTACCTCCTGAGTGCTGGAATTAAAGGCGTGTGCCATCACACCTGGCTCTATTTTATTTTTTTATTAATTTATTTTTATTTTATATATGGGTGTTTTGCCTGCATGTCTTTCTGGGCGTCGCATGCATGTAGTACCCTCAGGGGTCAGAAGAGGGCATCAGATCCTCTGGAACTGGAGTTACAGATGGTTGTGGGCCACCATATGGGTGCTGGGAACTGAACCCTGATCCTTTGCAAGAGCAGCCAGTGCACTAAACCGCTGAGCCATTTCTCCCGGCCCTCTGTTTACTTTTTAAGTAATCTGCTTGTTATCTTACTTGATTTTGAATGCACTGACTCATGTCTTCTCCACATCCTCTCAAGTAGACCCGACTAGAAGCTTCTAGAAGCCATTGTGTTCTTTTGGTGTCTCCACTCAGGCACTGAATTGCCTTTCCAACAACAGATCAGCACACACTGAAACCCATTTGTAATTACCACCTGCACTGTTTCTCTTGTCTCTTTCAGCGATGACCTTTTCTCTCTACCGCACTGCCCTGGCCGCACGTTAGTCGTAGGGGCCTCGTATGTTGGTCTGGAGTGTGCAGGATTTCTGGCTGGCTTGGGATTAGATGTGACAGTTATGGTACGCTCTGTCCTTCTCCGTGGGTTTGATCAAGAAATGGCAGAGAAAGTGGGATCCTACCTGGAAAAAGAAGGCATCAAGTTCCAAAGGAAATTCACCCCTGTTTTGGCAAGTCTGGGCATCTTGGACCCTTTGCTGTCTTTTTATTTTTCTTTTTAAAATTTTGCCCTCTTTTATTTAATCAAATAAACTAGTCTGTACACACTCACACAGTGCTGAAGATGACATACCCACCCCAGGTCTGCACACACTCACACAGTGCTGAAGGTGACATGTCTACCCCAGGTCTGCACACACACACACACACACACGCACACACACACACACACACACACACACACACACACGCACACACGCACACACACACACGCACACACACACACGCACACACGCACACACACACACACACACGCACACACACACACACACACACACGCACACACACACACACACACACCCCGAGTCTCCCTTCTTTCCCTGTGACCATCTTGAGGCTGTGATTTTCAACCTCCTGTCTTCTCATCAGCTTTCCTTCTCAGGCAGTGTCCCTGCATGCTCTTCTCCATTCCCTTTCCTCTAAAGACATCCTCTGCACACTGCCTCTAATCTGTTGCCAGCTTCACACTCATTATTTTTTTACTCCTTTGAAGCTGCTTTTCAGGAGGCCCAGTGGTCACATCTGTCCGTACATTACAGGCCTCTCTGCTGTATGTAGTGACATGTCTCATCTGCCAAGCCTGTGCCTTCCAGTCCAGTCTTCTCAGCCAGCAGACGCTGGTGCCCATTTGTTTCTGTCTGCGTCTCTCTTCACCACCCTGCACGTTTTATGAACAGTCTGTGGCCAGTAGCTGTAAGTTTTGTGTGAGTGCCCAGGGCACTCATTTTAACAGCTTCTGTTAAGGTGTCTCTCCTGAACCCCATGCTCACTCAGAAAAACCCATGCTCCAGTCCTCATGAGCACTTCAAGTGTAACAAGATAACATTTTAAGTACTATATTTCCCAAATAGACCCCTGCTAATCTTTCTCATCCACCAAGTAAGTGGAACTGCTCAGTAAGCCAACACCTGGAAACCCCTCTGTTCCTTTTTTTTTTTTTTTTTTACACTGCCTTCAGTCTCAGTGAATCCTTGATTTAGTTCTAGCTGCAAAATGTAGAGCATGGATGTTTTCTTTCTCTGCTTAGTTCAGAAATCTCCAGTGCGCTCAAACACATATGTGACCATCACCCTGTAAGTATACCCATACACAAGTATCCTTTGGTTAGTTTGTTCTCTGCCATGTTAGAGCCAGTACCTCATGTGTCCTTACCAGATTCAACAAATGGAGAGAGGCTCGCCTGGAGTGTTGAGAGTCGTGGCTAAGTCCACTGAAGGACCAGAAACAATTGAAGGGGTATACAACACGGTGAGTGTGTGTGGTAAGCATTCTTGTAAATGAGCAGGGGCAAGGTTTTGGAAAATGACAATAGGTTTACTGTTCCTACTTCTTTGTAAGAGGAGATGACAACTATGAGCAGGTGACAACCACTCACATGTTCAATGATGTGAAGAATTCCGTGGTGAAGTGTGCATGTGTGGCACTGTCCACAGAAAGCTCTGGCAGTTGACATCCAAACCCCATTGGTCTCTAGTTCTGGAGAATCACATATTTCACGCATAGGTTTACTTGGAAATTTTTTCTGGTAAATATCAAGTGTATTTTATAAACAAATAAATCAAATTTTCCCTTTCAAAGACAAACAATTCCCAAATCTTAAACCAGTGTGAATGACCTGAAAGGCTGAGGTGCCAAAGGGTGTCTCAGTTACAGTTTTAATAGAAACTGTACACTTGCTATGTACTCTTTATTTGTGCGCATTATATAAATATCTGAAGACTAAACATAAGTATAGAGAGGAACAGGCAAATTAAAAGTGTGTAGCCAAGCCAGAAGACCAACCTCCAACCTCAACCTCTGTTGAGGCTTTGGTGGCTATCTGCTGTGTTTAGTAGTCCAGGCACTGAAATCTTAGTGGCTCCAACAGAGGTTACCCAGGCCTCCAGGAAATAGATTTGTTCCCGGATGCTTGTGTGTTACATGGTCATAGGGGGTTTCTTACTGTGTGTGTGTGTGTGTGTGTGTATGTGTGTGTGTTTTAAATTGTCATTGTATATACTATTTCCAATTAACAAATAAATAAATTAATATTTTCCCAGCCCAATCACATTTTCTATTCCCTCCCTCTTCTCTTTCCAGTCCCTGCCCCCAACTTTCCTTTCCCTCCTCTCTCCACTCCTCCTTTCTCTTCAGAAAAGGAGAGGCCTCCTATGGATATCAACCATCCATGGTATATCAAGTTGTAATAAGACTAGGCACCTCCTCTCCTATTGAGGCCGGATGAGGCAACCAGTAGGAGGAAAGGGTTCCAAAAGCAGGTAACAGAGTCAGAGACAGCCCCTGCTCCCACTGTTAGGAGTCTCATAAGAAGACCAAGCTACACAACCTAACATGTGCAGAGGGCCTAGGTCAGTCCCATGTATGCTCTTTGGTTGGCGGTTCAGTCTCTGTGAGCCCCTATGAGTCCAAGTTAGTTGGTTCTGTGAGATTTCTTGTGGTGTCCTTGGCCCCTCTTGCTCTCATAATCCTTCCTTCCCCTCTTCCACAGGGTTCCCCAAGGACTGCCTAATGTTTGGCTGTGGGTCTATGCACCTGTTTCCATTAGTTGCTGGGTGAAATCTCTCTGATGACATTTGGGCTAGACAATGATCTATGAGTATTGCAGAATATCATTAAGGATAATTTTTTTTCTTTTGATGGTGATGCTTTATTAAAGTTAATACTTAGAATGAAAAGAATGAGAAAAGTGGATGGCTGTTTTCTGGTGTTCAGCTAAGTGAAGAATGAAGACCCCAGGGCTGGAACTGCAGGCAGGGAGAGGAGTTTGTTTGTTTGCTTGGTTTTAATTGGCATTTTTTAAAAATTGGCAACTAAAACAGTTAAGCCAGTCTTGTAGGATTTTGTTTGTTTTGTTTTGTTTTTTAGTTTATCTATTTTGTTCGTTGAGTCTCACTCACAAGTTTGTGAAGATGGGCCTTTAGATTGGGATTTTTTATTTTTAAGATGGCAGTTTGAAACGACCCAATAATGAGGCCTGCTTTTACTGCAGGACACTCTTCTGGGACAGAGGGCTCTGTAAAGTGCTTCATTTTGTTCTGTGCAAGCCCTAAAGGCTCTTTCTTCCAGGAGTATTATGAGGCTTGGGCGCCCGCTGCAGGACAGAGGCCATTAAGGATAATTTCATTAACATTTTTTGTTGTTGTTGCCAGTCATGTTTGGTTCGATCCCAGGTCTCTGGGCTGTCCAGCCTCTGGGTCCTGGCCCTCCAGGCAGTGTCAGAGGTGGTCTCACTTTTCATGGTATGGGTCTCAAGCTGGACTAGTCATTGGCTTCTCACTCCCACAATTTCTGTGCCACTTTTACTTCAGCATATTTCATAGGCCAATAAAATTGTAGGTCAAAGGTTATGTAGCTGGCATGGGGGTCCCAGTCCTCCACTGGAAGACTTGCCTGGTTACAGAAGGCCATCTCAGGCTCTGTATCTCCCATTGCTGGGGAGTCTTAGCTAAGGTCATTCTCATAGGTTCCTGGGAGTTTCCATTGTGCTAGGTTTCTAGCTTATCCCAGAGATGCTTCTCATTCCAGGTTTCTTTCCCAGTACTGTCTCCCTCTATCCTCCCCCACCCTATCCTTCCTGTTCCCATGCCCACCCTCATCGAGACCTCTCCCCAGTCCACCTGTGGTGTCTATTTCCCCTTCACAGTGAGAGTCATGTGTTCCCCCTTGAGCCTTCCTTGTCACTTAGCTTCTTTGGGTCTGTGGATTGTAGCATGGTTGTTCTTTACTTTATAACTAATATCCACTTATAAATGAGTACATACCATGTTTGTCTTTCTGGGTCTGGGTAACCTCATCAGAATAATCTTTTCTAGTTCCATCCATTTGCTGGCAAATTTCATGATGTCCTAACAGCCGAGTAATACTCCATTGTGTAAATGTATCACAATTTCTTTATCCATTCTTCAGTTGATGGACATCTAGGCTGTTTCCAGTTTCTGGCTATTACGAATAAAGCTTCTATGAACATAGTTGAGCAAGTGCCCTTGTGGTGTGGTAGAGTGTCCTTTGGGTATATGCCCAGGAGTGGTATAGCTGGATCTTGAGGTAGGTTGGTTCTCAATTTTCTAAGAAACTATCATATTGATTCCCAAAGTGGCTATACAAGTTTGCACCAGCAATGGAGGAGTGTTCCCCTTACTCCACATCATTGCCAGTGTGAACTGTCATTTGTGTTTTTGATCTTAGTCATTCTGAAAGATGCAAGATGGAATCTCAGTCATTTTGACTTGCATTTCCCTGATGGCTAACGATGTTGAATGTCTCTTTGTTCCTTTGCCATATGATATTCCTCTGTTGAGAATTCTGTTTAGATTTGTACCCCATTTTTAAATTGGATTTTTTTTGATGTTTAGTTTCTTGAGTTCTTTATATATTTTAGAAATCAGCCCTTTGTCAGATGCAGGGTTAGTGACGATCTTTTCCCATTCTGTAGGTTGTCATTTTGTCATATTGATTGTGTCCTTTGCCTTATAGAAGCTTTTCAGTTTCATGTGGTTCCATTTATTAATTGTCAGTCTTAGTGCCTGTCTCATGTGTTAATGCATTCAAGGTTATTTCACACTTTCTCTTCTAACAAATTCAGTGAATCTGGTTTTACATTGAGGTCTTTGATCCACTTCGACATGAGTTTTGTGCAGTCCGACATCCATTTAGACTAGCACCATTGTTGGAGATGCTTTCTTTTTTCCATTGTTTATTTCTTGCTTCTTTATCAAAAATTAGGTGTCCATAGTTATATGGATTTAAGTTTGGGTCTTTGATTCAGTTCCATTAATCAACTTGTCTGTTTTTATGCCAATACCAAGTGTTTTTTTTTTTTATTATTATTACTATAGCTCTGTAGTACAACTTGAAATCAGGGATGGTGATACCTATGGAAGTTCTTTTTTATACAGGATTGTATTTCCATATGAAGTTGAGTATTGTTCTTTCAAGGTCTCTGAATAATTGTGCTGTGATTCTGATAGGCATTGCATTGACTCTGTAGATTGCTTTTGGTAGGATGGCCAGTTATACTATGTTAATCATACCAATCCATGAGAATGGGAGGTATTTCCATTTTCTGATATTTTAAATTTTTTCTTCAGAGACTTGAAGTTTTTGCCATACAGGTCTTTCACTTGTTTGGTTAGAGTCACACCAAGATATTTTATATTATTTGTGGCTATTGGAAAGGGTGTTGTTTCCCTAATTTCCTTCTCTACCCATTTGTTGTTTGTATATAGGAGTGCTACTGATTCTTTTTTTTTTAGTTTATTTTCTGTCCAGCCACTTCACTGAAGGTGCTAATCAGCTGTAGGAGTTCCCTGGTAGAATTTTTAGGGTTTCTTATGTATACTATCATATCATTTGCAAATAGTGATACTTTGACTTCTTTTCCAGTTTGTATCCTCTTGATCTCCTTTAGTTGTCTTATTGTTCTCACAAGAACTTCAAGTGTTATATTGAATAGATATGGATAGAGTGGACAGCCTTGTCTTGTTCCTGATTTTAGTGGAATTGCTTTAAGTTCCTCTCCATTTAATTTGATGCTGGCTATTGTCTTGCTGTATATTGTCTTTATAATGTTTAGGTATGTCCCTTGCATTCCTGATTGCTCCAATACTTTTATCATGAAGGAGTGTTGGATTTTGTCAAAGACTTTTTCAATATCTAATGAGATGATCATGAGGTTTTTTTTTCTTTGTTTATATGGTGGATTACATTGATAGCTTTTCATATGTTGAAGCATCTCTGCATGTCTTGGATGAAGCCTATTTGTTTATGGTGAATGATCTTTTTGATGTGTTCTTGGATTCAGTTTTTGAGTATTTTATTGAGTATTTTTGTGTCAATGTTCATGAGGGAAGTTGTTCTGTAATTCTCTTTCTTTGTTGAATCTCTGTGGTTTGGGTGTTAGGGTAACTACAGCTTTGTAAAATGAATTTGGCAATGTTCCTTCTGTTTCTGTTTTATGGAATAATTTGAAGCATATTGGTATTCTTCTTTGAAAGTTGGCCCTGGCCGTGGGCTTTTTTTGGTTGGAAGACTTTTAATGACTGATTCTATTCCTTTTGGAGTTATAGATCTATTTAAATTGTGTGCTGATATATTACTTGTGATTTATTAAAGCTTGCCTGAGGATTCAGAAAGCAAAGCCAACCACAAGCTATAGAGGATAGGCAATGGTGATATACATCTTTAATCTCAGATGTCACACCAGTTAGCCATAGAAGCTTGGCAGTGGTGGCACACACCTTTAATCCCAGGACTCAGGAGACAGAAGTAGATGAATCTCTGTGTGAGTCCAAGGCCATCCATATCTACACAAGATTGAATCAGTCTAAAAGAGAATTAGAGCTTAATGCTGGACAGACTCCAGAATTACCTGGGCATGCTTGGGGAATTGTCTTGATCGTATTAACTGAGATGAGTCTTATGTGCTTGATAACAGCGAGGTTTTGGCCGGTATGTAAATGAGGAAGCTGCTCTTAAAAGGAGTCTCTGCCTGTCTCTTAATGCCTGGGAAACAGAGCTCACCCAAGAAAATGCTGCTATCAAGAAATTGCTTGTCTCTGTTCTTTATGTTTCTAAAATCCACTTTTAAGTTTTTGTGAAGTTTTTATGTGGGAGTTCATAAAACTATGTGGGCACCATTTGTAATGATACTCTTTCCGCCAGCCACCTGAGTTCCGCCGCCATGTTAGGCCCCCAGATAACACACAGAGATTAATATTAGTTACAATGCTGCTGGCCAATGACTAGGATTTCTTATTTTCTAGCTCTGTCTTAAGTATCAACCATAACCATTAATGTATATATTTTATAGAAGACTTATCTTATCAAGGACACCAGTGGCATGCGTCCTCTCTTCCCAGGATTACATGGCGACTCTTCTTTACTACATTTCCCAGAATCCTCCTCAACTCCTAGCCCTACCCATCTTGCTTCCCTATTGGCCAACAGTGCTTTATTTATCAACCAATAAGACAAACATATACACAGAAGGACTTACCCCATCAAGCAGCCTATGCATCTGTCACTCTCAGCTTCCTGATTGTGGATGTGATATGACCACTTACTGCAAGCTTTAAGCCTTGACTTCCCCCACCATGAACTGTGGCCACAATAAACCCTTTCTCGTGTAAGATACCTTTGTTGGGCTATTTTATCAAAGTCACAGAGAAGAAACTAAGACAGTTGCTAAGCCAGCAGTGTCTTTCAAGGGTTCCATCAAATTCACTGGTACAGTGAATTGTTATTCTTTTAATGCCTCCAGCATCTGTAGTGGTTTAGCCCTTGTCATTCTCATGGGGATAATATTTATGTTTCTGGTCTCTTCCCTAAATGCAGGTTTTGTTAGCAGTTGGTCGTGAATCCTGTACAAGAAAAATAGGGCTGGAGAAGATCGGGGTCAAAATCAATGAGAAGTAAGTGTAGGGTCGTGGCACTGTTACTGTACATAACCCCATAAAACCTTTTTAAATTGCTAAGATATAAAATTCTGATGCCTAAAATTTCTCACCATAAGTATCAATTTCTGGATCAACCAATTAGGGACTCTTCGCACAAGCCTTGAAGGTCTCATGTATTCAATAGCAATCCAAACACATATTCATAGAAATATGTTCTCCCACTGTCTGTGATTTAGAGTGAATTTTGATGTCTTTGATCGGTCAGAGAGAAAAATTCTGAAGCCCTGGAGGTGATGGCAGGGAATGTGAAAGCTTTAGATTGGCAGGAAGCATGGTCTAAGCCATTGTCTTCTAGGTCACTGGACATCTCAGTGTCCGGGCTGTGGAAGCTTCCATGTTGCTGATCTGCAGTCAGCAGTATAGGCGTTTACTGTGTGCTTTCATCCTCACTCTACCAGGAGTGGCAAAATACCAGTAAATGACATGGAACAGACCAACGTGCCTCATGTCTATGCTGTTGGGGACATATTGGAGGGAAAACCAGAGCTCACACCTGTTGCTATACAGGCAGGCAAGCTGCTAGCTCGAAGACTCTTTGGGGGCTCTTTGGAAAAGGTAACATTGTTTTCCTGTTATTGACCTATGTGTGTCTGCGTATCTCTCTGTGTGTCCATCCCCTATATATGTGTTTATATGCATGTGTATGTGTGTGTTTCTCTGTGTGTATCTCTCTCCTTCCTCCCTGTCTCCCCCTCCCTCCCCCCTCTGTGAGTGTGTATATATCTTCTGTGTAAGTATAAGTGTATATGTGTGTATATCTGCATGTGTGTTTGGAACTGAAGTCTGGGTCTCATCAATGCTAAGTAAGTGCTCTATCTCTGAGCTTCATCCCCATCCCTGAGACAGTATCTTGATCAAAATTAGGATTTCAAAATTAGTAAGTAAAGGTTCTTAGGGATAATTTGCAGTTGAATTACTACTGACCAAAGAGTTGACAAAACTTGTGTTTGTTTTACATCACTGGCCTGTCCTGTGATAGTGGAAAATTACTGTGGGTCCAGCCCCAGGACTCACCAGATGGGTGGAGGCTGAGTCCTGCAGGCTGAGTCCACAGATGTCAGTTCACAGATGTGGTTATGTGCCGGAGTGCTTGTGAGCTAGTTGCTCCAGGGCAGGAAAAGATGCCTGAATTATCTGACAGGCTGGAAACAGGCTTCATAAGTGGCCTGCTGCAGCTGACAATGGAGAGTGACCCCTCCTGAACAGGACACAAGCCTTTTACACTGCTTACTTGATAAGCCCCATTCACTTGCAATTTCACTTATGTCTTTTGCAAGAGGAAGCAATGGACTTTTCTAGTAGGGGTATCATCAGATAATAAATAGCTCAAGGTTTGTAGGAATAATAGTGTGTCCTCATGGGGTTTCATCCTTGGGAGGAAAATATTGCTGTCAGTAGTACTGGGGACCTGTGGTAGGGTTAGTAGATGACAAGGCATGGCTCTGCTTTTGTCAGCTCACACATATCCTCAGTGTACTTGGGGTGTGCCATGGGCAGAAGGCCATGTGTCCCTCAGCTTCATTTAGAAGGGCACCAGACAGCAAAGATACTGCTTAAACATCTCACCTAGATGCTCAGGTCTCTCCAGTTGCGCTACTCAGCCCATTCTCCTCTTTGAAATAATTGAGATAACTCTATATACACTCTCCTCTTCTCTGCGTAATTTGAAGACAAATCAGCCTAATTTGTCTCTAGCTGCTGGTGTGTGGGTTGCTTAAGTACAGTGATGTCCACCTTTTCGACTCAGTTCAGATGCTAAGAACTCAGCTGAAGTTCAGCAAAGTGGGAAGGTGGGACAGTGGTTAAATACTTGTCACAAAGTGCAAGGACCAGAGTTGGGTCCCCTCAAAACCTGTGTGTAGTGGCACGCCAGTAATTCCAGCCTTGGGAAGTGGGAATGGGATCCCTAGAGCAAGCTGGCCAATATGACCAGCTGTACCGCCAGCTCTGGGTTTGACTAAGAGACCCTGCTGAGATTGATAAGGTGGAAGAGTGATAGAGGATGATTCCCAGCATCATCCTCCGGCCTCTACATGTACACACATGAAAAACATTCAATCCCAAGGTCTGGAGAGTTGACAAACTCAGTAGTCAAGAGCACCCATACCTCTTGGAGAGGACCCAGGTTTGATTCCCAGCACCAGCATGGTAGCTCACAACTGTCTGTAAGTCCAGCTCCAGAGGATTCAACACCCTTGTCTGGCCTTTGTAGGCATCAGACACACACGTGGTGGAGAAACATATTTTGAGGAGAAGACCCACACCCATCAAATGAATTAGTAAGTGCATTTGGGGCACACTCACTCACATGCTCACTAGCACATTTAGTCTTCTCCAGTCTTCCATCAGTTGGCTCTTGGAACCACCAAATCCCTTTTGCTCTGACACTGCCTTTTCTGAATCCATGTCGTAGAAACGTGCTGGGAAGCAGGTCATAGGAGTGTTGTGTGTTTCTCTTCCAGTGTGATTACATTAACATCCCAACAACGGTGTTCACGCCTCTGGAATATGGCTGCTGTGGGCTGTCTGAAGAGAAAGCCATCGAAGTGTATAAGAAAGAGAATCTGGAAGTAAGGATCACATCTCCTCCAGAAGCCACCCTTCCTTCCTTGAAGCCACTTTTTATGTTGTAATTTTGCAAGTCTCTTTCGTGCTAATGTTAGAGAAATCATCCTTCTCTCCGGGAGAATTTGAAGTGAATTTGTCTCACTCACAAAGTGATAAAAAAAATAACACAGCTTTGGCGAGAGGGCAAGTAGGGTGTGTGAATTGGGACTGTCCAAGTGTGTGTGGGGTGCTCTGGGCTCTGCTGGGCTCAGTGGCACAGGTGATGCACTTCATCTTGGGAGGCAGAATGGTTCCATGTCTTCTGACCTGGGTTTGGGGTGGACGTGCCGCTAGGTGGGGTCTCAGTTGTCACCTTCTGAGCCCACACAGGAACTAGTCTGGTGCTGTGGGCCAACAACACTCTACATGCTTGAAAATGGAGTTTTGCTAAGAGGAGGCTGTTTCTTCCTCTGACTGATGGCTGCACAAAGCAAAAGTGACATGTTGCTGGCGTTTTGGGAACCTGGCTCCAAATGCAGCTATCAATGTGCCCCAGGTGTGGCCTGGGGCTTCCAGGGCTGCAAGCTGTTTTAGTCTGTCACCGCGCGTGTGCGTGTGTGGGGAAACTAAAGAACACGTCAAGGAGTGGGTTGCATGCAGGGTTAATATCAGCCTCTCTCTCTGGTCCAGGTGTATCACAACTTGTTCTGGCCTCTGGAGTGGACGGTCACTGGCAGGGACAACAATACCTGTTATGCAAAGATAATCTGCAACAAATTCGACAATGTATGTAGATACATGGATGCTGCGGTGTCTGTTCTACTCTATTCTACTCCATTTTCTCTGGGGATTGGGCCCAGGGTTTCATTTGCACACCCTCTACCCCAGGCTGACCCCCAAACCTCATACCCTCTACCCCGGGCTGCCCCGCCCCCCCCAAGCCTCATCCACTGTGGTTTTAGAATGCAGCTTGGATTTACGTGAATATATAGAATGCAGCTAGTTGGATTTCTATGACATCTTTAAAGATAGAATTGGTGCAAGAGCGAGCTCTCAGCTGATTACAGAGGCTGAGGCAGGAGCAGATTCCCAGCTGGGTTGGGCCTGTCAGGCAGTGAGAAGCTGGCCACCCAGAGTCAACAGTTTAACCCTGATGGTTTAGAACTGTGAAGGCTAACACTGGCCACCATCCAGCACTGTGCATGGTACATGTTTGGGTGGGCTTCACCGGTGGTATGCCATGTTGGAGTGCCGAGGAGAGGCACCCACAGAGGGTAGCAGGCAGGTGCAGACAGAGCTGAGATATGTCCTGTGCTTGGCTCTGTCATCTGCGTGCATACTCCCTTTGTCTGTTGTCATAGATGATCAGAATGGAGGCCAGACTCTGATGAAAAGGCTTGTCAGTGGACAGCCTGTGGCTCACTGCTACCCTGGACACTCACCATGTCCTGCCCTGCTGACAGCCTCTTACTAGCCATTCTTGAGCTCTGCCTAGTGTCAGGAGCAGGCCGCTGTTCACTAGGTCCACAAACCTTCCTCTAGGAAGACCCAATGCCTTGGGTACTCCAGTGCAGGCCCTTAGTTCATATGTGCAGTGTTTGTGTGGCCCTGTCTCAGTGTAATCCAGAAGTCACACCCTACCCACAGACTCCATAATGGGGTAGGGTTAGGGGGGCGGATTGACTCCATTAGTAAATTAGAGTATGAGTTAGTTCTGACCACATTTTGCCGGCTCCTTTGAGAGGCTGTTCTCTGCCTAGTTCCTTTCCTGTGGGAGACCTGTATATCTTAGCTGTGAACAGCAGGGAGTGGATTTCTGTTTATGACCCTAGGCTTATGGGAATTCTCTGTTCTGTCCCTGCATTAAAGGAGCGTGTGGTGGGATTTCACCTTCTGGGGCCAAATGCTGGTGAAATCACACAGGGATTTGCAGTTGCTATGAAATGTGGGCTCACAAAGCAGCTACTGAATGACACCATTGGAATCCATCCCACATGTAGTGAGGTAAGGAACAGGAAGGTGTGTGTGTGTGTGTGTGTGTGTGTGTGTGTGTGTGTGTGTGTGTGTGTGTGTGTGTGTGCAGACCTTTAAAAATTTTTCTTTCTATTCT